CATTGTTCTTAGAAAAAATTTTCATTTATATTATTTATATTCCCACTATACAGCCATCTAATTTTTATTTATGTTATCTTTAGGTAAAAATGATACTCGTTAAATTTAGAGTTTCAAGTCTTATAAACGAGTGCCAACTTATAAGCACTCGTTTATAAGACACGGCAAAGTAGTTGAACTTTTTGTATCTCTAAAAAGATGTGCAACATACACTTGATCCGTTGCATCGGATAAATTCTAAATACGACACATATCATCTCAAGAAAGTAATATATTTATGCCTTAAGTGAGTCACTTAAAAATTTTGGTAAAATTATTTTGATGGTTTGGTCATCTTTTACACCATGAAACATGATACTATGATTTTAATCCCTAGTTTTTTAATGTTTAAGGTTGTTAGACCTAATTTTACCCCCAATTATTTTTTAAAAAATAATTGAGTTGAAAGAAAATATAAAAAAGGAGAGAGAAAAGAGAAAAAGAGAGAGAGTTATTTGAAAAATGATTTGAAAGGTCTAATAAAAGAAATATAAAGTTTATAAACCAAAGAAAACCCAATTGTGGGTGCAATTGAAAAGTCCAAAATCCTAAATCCTTAATTAAAAAAAGCTACAATTGAGAGAAATTGAAAGAATAGGTCCTAATTAATTACAATTAAGGGGTGCCATTGAAATATGAACAAGCAAAATTGTACTTAAATTAGTGAGTTATGAGAAATCATGGACCAAAATTAATCTTTGCCTAAAAAACCTTGATCTCCACTTATAAATACCAACCCATTTAGCCATTTAAGATGGATATGGATCCCAAAAAATAAAAAGATCTAAAATTCCCAAAATCTACTAAATAGCCTTTAAGGAAGAAGAGACCCAATCAATCCTTAGGTTATACCCATATATTAACCGAGCTTCTCTTCCTAAATCGGACACCCTCTAGCCGATATCACCTTCGATCACCATCACCAATCAATAGCTTACACTCGGATCCACCATTCTCAACTAGTTAGAGAAGGAAAAGACTCTAGAGATCTAGAGTTGGTCAAAATTGAGGAGAGAAAGCGGATGACCCGAATCGGTTAGTAACCCTACTAAATCTCCTAATTTTGGTTAAACCACCATCTTCCATCGTCATAGAAACACTCATCACCCTCCTAGAAGATGTTTTCCCTAAAAATTATATCTCAATGTCGACTAGAATAAGTTAAATCAATGACAAACCCATTCCCCGACTTGTTATGATGATATAACCTAATCAACCAATTAAAGCCAAATCGGACCTTCTAACTACTATATAAATGTTTCTCGTGGTTCTTTCGGTAGATTGGTGTCCTTCCCCTACCTCACCGTGGTCGAGAACGTGGTTGGAGAAGAAGACCAAAAATTAAAGTTTTGATAGTCGTCGATCTCTCTCCATCGACTACCGTGGCCGACACCGCTCGCACCGGTCGATAGAGGAGCTCTAGGTGACCCTTCTTAGACTAGCCACGTGCCCGAAGGTTGTCGGTCGGTGGTCATGATTGGTGGTAGTAACTCCTAGGGTTACCGAGGGCGGTTTCATAATTTTGACATCCATAGGAATTTTGGTAATTTTACCCTAAGAGCATTTTGGTCATTCTATATTTTACCAAGGGCATTTTTATTATTTCATAATATCATCTTTAATGCTTCAACTGGAAGTCGCTATCTTTTTTCGACTAATCGAACAATAAGTTCTCATCGAGGACGAAGAGAGTATAATTGACCTCGAATAGGACTTCGGACAAATTCAATCTTTTTTGACATTTATTTGAGTAACTTTTGATAATATTTATATCCATTAAATTTACCGATTGAAATGATGTGAATGACATGTCTCAATGAATATAAAAATATAAAAATACATGTTGATTGTGTTTGAAATTTAAAGTGTGATCGGATACACCATTGTGTATCGAACTTAAAAGAGTAGAACCCCATGTATTGTTAAGGTGAAATAAGACAAATTATTCAATGCTATGCGATGGAGTGGAGAGGATGATTTTGAGTTTTTAATTTTAATGGTGGATTTAGGATAAATGCCGATCTCGATATTTGTATTTAAATATGATGTCTATGTTTGTACCGAATGATATGATTATCTCGCTTTATGCATAAATGAAAGAAAACTAGCAATGGTTTCCCACTTATATGAATAAGGTCCGAAATTGACGATAGCTTCCTACATATATGGATGAAGTCGCTCTGTAACTTATAAATAAAATTTCCTACTTCCTGTTTGTCTAAAATCAAGCTATCGGTGGCTTCCTATCTATATGGATGAAGTTTTTTTATAGTTTTCAAATCATTTTACTTGCTTTTTGTTTATCATAAATGAAGTCACCGATGGTTTCCATCTATATGGTCGAAGTTGTCTATGGCTTCTAAATCAATTTACTTATTTTATGTTTGTCTAAATGAAGCTATTGGTGGCTTCTCACTTATGTGATCAAAGTTCCTCATGGTTTCTAAGTCATTTTACTCGTCTTTCCTTGTTAGAAATAAAGTTGTTGATAGTTCCTCACCTATGTGATTGAAGTCGTTCACGAGTTTCAAGCCATTTTACATGCCTTTTGTTTATTAGAAATGAAGCTACCAATGGCTTCTCATCTATTTGGTTGAAGTTATCCATGGCTTCTAAGTCATTTTACATGCCTTTTGTTAGTGACTTTCTACCTATGTGGTCGAATCTATCGTGGCTTCTAAATTATTTTATTTGCCTTTTGTCCGTCAAAAATAAAATTACCAATGGCTTTCCACCTATGTGGATGAAGCTACATACGACTTCTAAGTCATTTTATCTATTTTTTGTTTATCATAAATAAATTATCGATAGTTTTTCACCTATGTAGTTGAAGGTATCTATGGCTTGTAAATCATTTTACATATTTTCTATTTTTCCGTAATGAAGTAGTTGGTGGCTTCTCACCTATGTGAACGAAGTTGCATGCGACTTTCAAATCATTTTACTTATATTTTTATTTGTCCGAAATAAAATTATCGGTGGCTTCTCACTTATATGGTCGAAGCTAGCTATGACTTCTAAATCAATTTACTTGCTTTTTATTTATTAAAAATGATGTCGCCAATGGCTTCCCACTCATGTGGTGAAGTTGCCGGTGGCTTTCCACTTACGTGACAAAGTTATCAATAGCTTCCTAAACTCGCGACTCGAAGTCGACGGTGACTTTTCACTTATGTGAGCAAAGTTGTCAATGATTTTCTGTTTATATCAATATAGGGCTTCTAATCTTTAAAAACTCACCTATTTTATCGATATAAGCTTGTGTTCACCGAAGATTAACCAAAATTTCAATCTCCCCTCCACCTTTCTACTTTTAAGTATGGGCATTGGGATTTGACCAGTCTCGAATTCCAAATTACTTTGCTATTCCATTATGATAAAATAAACTCATTCAAATAGGCATAGAAGTATAACATAACAAAAATCGGGCTTTTATTTTCATATGCATTCAATGTTACTTATCTCGAGTAAGACGGGATGACGGTGATGTTATATCTTTCTCATATGTAATTAAACCCTTTTTCATATATCTATGCATTCTAGTTTGTTTAGGGTTTCCTAATTCTCTCCGATTAACTAGGTGACGACTCTATTTCCTACATGTTTTCACAGGCCTCCATCGACAAAGGTAAAAAAATTCTAATTCGCTATTCATTTTAATTTACTATGAATTTATTTATTTATTGAGTAAATATTTATTATTTAATTATTTTCCTTTTATATGCTAGGAACAACATCAAGTTTGAACTGATTTGAGTTAAGTATATTAAGCGTGTTTTAGTGTTATTTTAACTCAAAGAGTGGTATATTTAATCTCTATTAAAGCAAAAGTCGACATGAAAAAAAAAAACACACACACACACACACACACACACACACACACATATATATATATATATATATATATAGAGAGAGAGATGAGAGAGAGAGAGAGAGAGAGAGTTATAAGTTACATCTAGGAATGGCAATGGGGCATCCCCGCCCCATCCGCCCTAAAAACTCCGCCTTGTCCCCACGTAGGGCGGGGGATATGGATCCTTGTAGGGCACCGGTGCCTTTTTAATTTTTGCGCCCACCTCGCTCCATTTTTATCTTATATTATCTTGTAACAAATTTTAAAATATAGTAAAAAGATAATAGTCTATATAAAAAATACAATTAAGAAAGATAATAATTTAACATCATATTCAACTATAAGTTTATAACACGAGTTCATAACATACTAAATTATTTTCAATCGATAATATACTTAATTAAGTTGATGAAATATCACAAATGCTATTAAAAAATATACATTTTTGCATGTTTTTATTACTTAGAGATTATCAAAACTCATTATATTGAAAACTAGTTTGTAACCTTAGAATATATATATATATATATATATGTGTGTGTGTGTGTGTGTGGAGTATAATTATAATTCTTTTTAAAAAAGACTAGACGAAATGGAGCGAGGCTAGGCGGGATAGGGCGAGCAAATACCATCCTCGCTCCATCCTCGTTCAAAATTAATATGGGGCGAGGCGTCCCATCTCGTTCTCCAATCAACTTGGAGAATCCTTATGTTAACCAAAGCGAGAAAGAGTAGGGCTCCATTGGGGAAAGGCAAATTATCATCCCTAGTTACAACTATATATTTACCACATTAGAAAATAACTCATCCTTTTGTGACGGCAAAATATGAGAAAATAATTCATTTTCACGCAAACAAAATGAGGGCTTAATTTAGGCCCAAGCAGCCGAATAACAGTGTACAAGTTGGGCCTGGACTCCTCCTTTGTTTCCCATAGACAGCAGGCCGAACGGAGGAGAATCGCCATCAGCACACAACAACAGACGAAGGGTTTATGCTTCGTCTCTGCTAAAACCCAACCCCGTCTCCTCTCTCATGTCCTCCACCAAAAACAGTCAAATCATCGGAAGATAAACGTAAACAGAGAGACACGCAAATAAAAAGGAAAATGCTTCTTTATCGTTCTCCTGCTTCCATGCTCCATTCCTATAAACTACTTGCTCCACCACTACCATCACCACTTAAAAGCCTCTCCCATTTAAAGCACTCCTATTCATTTCTCTCTTCTCCGCTTCAAATCCGCCTGTTTTTCCTCAATCCAAGTACAATTCGAGGATTCGCCACTGCTGCCGTCGACGAGACTAAGACAACCGACACCTTCTTCGCCGACCACGCGGTATCATGGTCTTCTCTTGGTTTGTCTCATCAGCTCCCTCGAGCTCTCTCTGAGTTTGGCCTTTCAAGACCCTCTCTTGTCCAGGTCTCTTTAAATCTATGACTTGTTTTTGTGGTAATTATGTTTCTATGATGATGATGATGATGATGATAATTGTAAGATGGTTATAGGCTGCGGCTATACCATCAATACTTTCAGGAAAGGATGTGGTGATTGCAGCGGAGACTGGTAGTGGTAAAACACATTCCTACTTAGTTCCTCTGATTAACAACAGGCTATCTGCTTCTACTTCTACTTCTGAACCAGGATTGGCTCCCACCCAATCTGGGATTTCTCTAGTTCTTTGCCCCAATGTGTTGCTATGTGACCAAGTTGTGAAAATGGCTAGTGGTCTTTGTGATGATAATGGCCACCCACTTCTTACTGTTGCAGCTGTCTGTGGCCGACAGGTACTCGTGACCTAATTGTTCTTGTCTGATTACAGATGTACCATTGCCGTGACTTTTGTTCAGTTGACATGCATTTCAGGATTCTTGTAATTGTTAAGAATTTGGTGAAAATGATTATGCCTTGATTGCAGGGTTGGCCGGTTAATCAACCAGATATTATCGTATCAACACCAGCTGCTCTTCTGAATAATATTGATCTGAAAAAACAAAGCAGGTCCAGTTTCATTAGTTGTGTAAAATACGTGGTATTTTCCCCTGTAACTCATAACTCATTTTATTCGTCAAACTTGGTCGAGGAATCTTCTAGTTGTAGTTGATTTGTCGTCTGTGATAACCGGCAGGTGTTTGATGAAGCAGACATGCTTCTGTGTGGGGGATTTCAGAATCAAGTTATCCGTCTCATAAACATGCTTCGTTTTGACGAGAAGCAGCTCTCTCGAGCAAATAAATCTGCAGTCCAGGTTCCTCAGGAAGCGGGTTCTGGTTCTTTAGGACGCTTCAGCTCAGAGGATGAAGAAGACCTACAAAATGAACCAACAGCAGAACAGGATGAGGATTTTGGTAGTGACTTGGAAGTTGAGGACTTAAAAGAGGAAACTGAGGCTGGGTCCATTGACAGAAAAGACTGGAGGAGGGTGAGAAAAATTATGAACGCAGTAAGCAGTACATTTTTGTCGCAGCCACCCTGCCAGTCAATGGAAAAAAACTGCTGGAGCCGTGCTCAAGCGAATGTTTCCAGATGCGAATTGGATTAGTGGAACCTATCTTCATTGTCACAACCCTAGGTGCCATGTTCAATTGTTCTTGCTAGTTGTCTTCCACATATGGCAATTTTTCTTGTCTACCAGCTACTCATGCTATATTGCTGACTTGCTGTCATGTCATTGCATGTAAAACAGTTTATTTCGGAATTCATATATGCTTCTCTCACCTACATAACTAAAGTGGAGAAATATGAGGATATAAATCCATAGCTAAAGTATTATACCAATTTACAAGTCAGGATTTCCCTGCATCAGTTATGGACATCTTGATAATGGTTCCATATGCATTTTCCTGATATCAGTTGGTCTCTTGAAAATAGTCCAATCTTAATTTTTCACTACTGTGTAGAACAATGGATTTATTAGTCCAGTTCCATGGTCATTGGTCTGATGCTCCTTGTCCATGTTGGAAATATGCACCCATGGTTGGGTAGGTTTGGTTGTTCTTTTGGAGTTAATCTCAATGAACGTTGGCTTGTCACTTCCTTCATAGGCCTTACTGCATCTTCTGTAACTGGATATGCACAAACTTATTGTGATCCTCCCACTTCTTGGCCAAGTAGGATGATGGTCCCCCTCCTTTTGCAATGATGTGGGGCTTCAGAGGCTCTTACCCTGTGTCAGCAACTTGTAGGGGCTGAAGTTAATATGCAGAGTTTTGGTTATTAAGTTATAGCAGCACTGAGCAACATCCAACAGCTCAGTCTTTCTGGTTTGCAGTAAAGTGCCTTAAGTAGCTCCTGAGGAGATAATTATGCTAGCTCCATGTTCACTGGTCTGATACTTCATTTCCATGCCAGAAATTTACGCCCATGGTCATGTAAACAGATCACTTGTTTTTAAATTGATTGGGGAGAGTAGATGTTACCATGACCTTTCTCAACATATTGTGCTTCTTGTTTGGACATAACGATTTTTGTCACTTTTTGGGAGAAATTGCACTCTAGGTCCTCACCATCTCACTAAGAGTTAATTAGAGATACTCTGATTTCAAATATTTGAAATGCAGCCTAGTTTGTTTCTTTCAGATAAGATGAAATAGTTAGCCTTCATAATATGTGTTGCACCCGACAATATAAACCACTGAATGAAAGAGTTAGCCTTTCTAATCAAAGTTTCAGTCACCATATCTGCAGTTATTTCTCTGGCAGGATGTCAAGTCATGCAATTTGCAATCGAAACTTCAAATTTTGTGTGTCTGCACCATTTGTCAAACATGTTCCTGCTACACATGGTTGCCTCATTATTGTAGTCTGCTGCATTTGCTCTCTTCAATATGTTGATTTTGTTACTAATTTGTTGTTTTTTTTTTTGCCCTTCAGATTGGAGCAAAAGTGGGTTGAAGTTTCGGTTGATACCCAGGTGGATGCACTCATCGAGGCTTTGAACCAAGGACTTAGATCGGATGTGTTAGATTATGGGGTTGGAGTGAGTCGAACCATGGTTTTCGCGAACACTGTTGAGGCTGTTGAAGCAGTGTGTAAGATCTTGAGCAGAGCGGGAATTGGGTGTTTCTGTTACCATAAGGACTGCTCTTTGGAGGAACGTGCAAAGACATTGGCTGATTTTCGAGAAAAAGGTGGAATTTTTGTGTGCACTGATGCTGCTGCCCGTGGAGTTGACATTCCAAATGTCTCACATGTTATTCAGGTTCTTCTATCAATCAATTGCATGTTACTTGTTTTATCTCTTTGTTACATTGTTATATTTATCGCATTTATTAGTTTCTCTAAGGCTAGTAGGATTGAATGGTTTTCTTAACATCATCAAGGACTTCTACTTCTGTGGCATTGGGTTTTGCAGTCAATATTCACTGGATAGTCATAGTGTTTTAATTTCTTTTTTTGTGGAGGATATCTCATTCTACTTATTGTGCTTATGAATTGTTCCTTTACGAATGAGAATTTATTCTCTTATAAAAAATGATCATGGTAGCACGAAACCCCTGGCAATGCCTGGTATTAGAAAAAAAAAAAAAAGTGAAAAATAAAATTTTATGGTGAAAAAACCAATCACGAGCATAAAATTAATGAAAACATAGTACTGTGCCATAGAAACGAGAAGTTGAAATATAATTAAAATTTTATGATGGATACTGTGTCATCTCATTGACAGTATAAATAACGTAGTGCAACAAACAAGTAGCCATAATGGAAGCTTTCACGACCAATGAAGTTTTCTTGGAGTTTGGATGTTGGAAAAGTAGACTGAGATATTCGACAAGATTGAGAATTAGAAAACAATGATGCAATTGTTAGGAGATTATCATAAAGAAAGATTCTTTTTCCAGAGGTTTTCTTTCTTTATTTATTTTTTTCTGAGGACTTGTTTGCTCTAGTTTTGATGATAAAGTTAAATGCCTAACTGGTGGCCTCTAATTAGTTCTTTTATACAACACCCTGTTATATTTATCAAACTTGGCGAAAGTTGAATTGTGTTGGTGCATAAGCCATGCATTTGAAGCTAACTCTGGCTACAATTGGTACATTTCAGGCAGACTTTGCCACCTCTGCTGTAGATTTCTTGCACAGAGTTGGCCGCACAGCTCGAGCTGGTCAACATGGACTTGTCACTAGCCTCTATACTGAATCCAACAAGGATCTTGTTGATGCCATTCGTCAAGCAGAGAAACTTGGTCGGCCTGTGGTAATTGTCGAATCTTGCACTTCTGGTTCCAGTAGTTTACCAACTTAACCATCCTAATATTCCCCATGCTTTGTTAGAAGCAACAAATCATTTCTTTGCTCCCTCCTCTTTTTTTTTTTTTTTTTTTTTTTGAGAGGGATGAGATGTAACACTCTGTGCTCTACAATAGTTTAGAGTGGTCATTTGCTGATTATAAGTGCAAGTTGCCATTCTGACCCATGAAGAATGACCAACTTTTATAAAAAAAATGAGCATTGCAGTCCTAGTACCCAAATTAATCTGTAATTTTTTTTTCAGTTACTGATTTGCATCTTTCCTGATTTCATGTTTTTGAATGGCTGCAGGAAACCGCATTTAGCAGGAAAAGGAGCTTCAGGAACAAACTTAAGAAAAGAGGTAGGTTATTGTTTAATGTCGTTTTATTTTGGCACAAGGGAAGAGAACAGACTGAAATTTCTAAATTGGTCTACATTTTGGTACATGGGAAGAAAACTTCAAAACCATGCTAAACTCTCAATCCTCTTAAATCTAAAGGGGAAGGAGCTGATTGAGAATTGTCAAGGGAAATAATTTATCTGGCCCTTTGTTAACCAAACCATCTCCATAAAAGTTTCCTTGATGAAGTGGAAAATCAATCTGTTATTTCACTTGTAATTTAAGAGCAACTAAACTCAGAGTTTCAATTCTAAATTATAAATGAAGTTGCAAGTTAATTACCATGAGAAATGACATCCTTGAAGTCCTCCCCTGGGTGGAAGCGCTGAATTTATGATCTTCTTATGAGAAAACATTTTCATGTGCTGAAGTATTTTTAGAGGTCAAATCTCCTAAGGAGCCTGCGATGTAGTGAACCTTTTGCAAACCTCAGTACAATTTTATATTAACTTGAGAATATTTCTTTGTTTTGGATTAATTAACAACACCCTGTACCAATTGGTATGGTGCATTTGATTATTATAAAAGATTTAACTAATTGTTTTGATGTTATTTTAGCAGGTTCCAGCAAATCGAGGGACAGACCAGCTATTTCATTGGCGAGTACTTAAGAAACTTGGATATGGAAAGAAGCATGTACTCTAGTCAGTTCTTTTTTGTGTGTGGCTAAGTTGTTCCTTTTAATCATCACAAGACCCATGTAAATGTATTCTTTGTTCAATTACATTGATTATGAGTAACCCTTTTCATTATCAGTTTATTGCTTGTTTACCAATATCATCTTAACCTAAATCGGCCACTCTGTACAAGTTTGCACTTTTTTGGTGTGCTGTAGCAGGTTGACTGTGCAGATAAAACTTCTTTCCTCTTTGGTGCAGAAAAGGTTTCAAAGGCCCAACAGATTCTGACATGGAATTTCAGCTATCAAAAAAATGAAAAGTAAAAAACCTCTTTCCTCTCTCCCCTTTATCGCTAGAAGTACAATTTTCCTATCATATCTGGGTCTGCCGCTGCCCGCTATCCTGCGATGGCGCCTTCTCAGCTAAGTTTTTCCCTTGCTTTTGCTTTTGCTTTTACTAGTTTTTTTTTTTTTTAATAACTAAATAATTTGTAGGATTTGCTTAGGGGCAGAATTAAAATTGGTTTGGAAAGAGGTGAGGGGTAAGAAAATAATTGAATTTTTGGATGCAAAACATGGAAATTGAAGGGTTATAATTAAAAATTTTCAAATTTTATAACTAAAATGTAAGAGTTTCCAACTATTGGGGGTGCCTAGGGCCACAACCACAACACCGCCCCCGCCCCCGCCCCCCCCCCCCCCACACACACACACACACAACAAACACCAATCAATATAGTTTCTGCCCTTGGATGTGCTCTGTCCATATTTTATAGGGTCGATGTAGTTTTTCTCTCTTTAAAGAATCCTTTTGCTTGGTCCAGTTCAACAAATTAAGAGATTGTACAAAATTATTTCCCCATTTACTCGGTAAACAACTTCTAACTTTCTCATGACCATCATATTTCTGCCTAGATAGATGAAAAACTAAGGCCATGTTGAGACATGTTTTGCCACGGTCATTAAGTAGCCGATGGATCTAGAGTCCTTGGCTTGGACTGCTGCTCGAGGAGCTTGCTCCACCAAAAACTTAATGAGGGTAGAAGTAGAGTGAGATTCCAGTCATGGTCGCCATTTACAACAACTACTATATAGTCTATTGTTTCACCATCTTTTTAGATTTAATGATTTTAGGACTATGATCATTCTTTATGTGTTGTAATTTACCTTGAATTTATTTTGCCTTTAATATGTTCCATTGAATTTAGAAAAGTTAATGTGTATTCTCTTCGTTTTAGGGTTCTTTGCCTTTAATATATTCCAGCATATTCATTCAGGTGTGTGATAATCTGTGTGACTAACCTGCGTCAGCAATGAAAGAACCATGGTTTTAGACAGAATATAATATTCCTCGCTGTAAACCAAGTTGCCTTTTATTATTTTATGTTCTAGTATTTGCTTAGGAGTGGTGTAGTGGCATGCCATCAATTTCTTTCATTTTCCTGCTGGTCGTAAATGAAGAGAAAGCAATTATTGACATTGAAATGATCTGTGATGTGGTGTTTTCACGGGATTATCAGGGGACCTGCTTGATTCAATGCTTTCATATATATGTTGCACACATGTGGCAGAGGTTTTTCAATGTGATCTGACATGAAGGTACTGAGTTGGGGATGAATGTAGTTTGGCCATGCCATGTCTTTCAGTATAGACAACTTTAAAGTATGTATTATTTGATGGCCAATTAAATGGAAATCATAGTGTATTTGATTTAAAACCATGAATACTTCGAGGTAATTAAGAGAATCGATAATGATAATCATAAGAAAGGAATTAATGATAGAAGTGGGAGCAAAATTCATCATGTGTCGTCGAGCTACGAACCCATCAGGAAGTTCACCAATTTCCGATCCTGTCACAACCCACATGAAATGCAGATTACTTTCCTTCAAGCCCCATGCAAGCTCTGTCGTTTGTTCTGTTGTGAAAGCAACCATGCTTCCAAAAGAAACATATACCAATGTTTGAGGTGGCTTTGTTTCTAGTCATTTGAGACACTCTTCACTAATCGGCTTCCACAGACTTTCTTCATATGCTTTCTCCATCAATTCGTCCATCCATGTTAGAAGATGGAACCATACATAGGGCCAAATTAACATCTTCTCCAACCAAAGCTCTCTGATATGACTCATGTCTCTTTCAATTTTGAGCATATAACTGGAAATAAGTGTTATCAATAGACACGACACGACAAGACGAGAGCAAGATCAATGGACAACAATCATATTGATAATTGATACATTACACTTATAGATACCTGGATTTCCAACTCTTCGAAGGTGTTTGCAAATATCCAGTCAGCCATATTCAAATTAGAATAGTGAGTCATTTTCATGGCCAAGTTGTGTAGCTTTCCGGAAACTCGAGAAAAGTTGGCAGGGCAAGAAAGTGTAAGCACCGTTTGTTTGCCGGAAAACAACTTTCAATAGAAAATACAATTCTATACAAGCTATTTTTTAGAGAGTTTTTTTTTTAAAAAAATATTTTCTGACATTTGATAATTACATGAAAAAACTACTAAAAAATATATTTCAACGTTTGTTTAATACGGAAAACCGAAATACAAAAACAAGCTATGATTGTTACATCAATGAATTTTGAGATAATTTTAATAAGGTATATTTACAATCTCATAATATAAAAATTATTAAAAGATCCCACATCCATAATAGTTCATATACAAATTATTATTTTGGTAACTCAATTAAGAATTCTTTTTTTTTTTTTTTTAAGAAATTGAACTGATAACTTAGTCTAAAAAATAGTTTTACAAATTATTAGTTACATTTGTAGATAATTATTCATTTGGTTTCAAAAGATTAATGTTGGAATAATTTGTCAATAATTATTTACTATAATTACTAATAAAATTTTACAAGTGATTAAAATTAATCACAAATTTTGATTAGCAAATGAATAGTATTGAAAAAAATAATGTATTTATTAATGAATTAATTAGTTTTGATTTTTTCACAAATAATTGCGAGTCTTGTAATAATCATTTTTAATCATTTAAATATAGTTTAGGTGGTGTTTGAGATAATGATAAAAAAAAAATAGAGATAAATTATTAAAATATTTATTATAAAAATAATTTTAAGGTGTAAAAATGGTTTTAAGAATATTTAATATATTTATAAATAAAAAAATCAAACGTTAATAAAAATAGAGAAAAAATAATTAAATAATTAATAATAATTGATAAGAAATAATTAAAAATTAATTTGATATATTTCAAATAAAAAAGAAGACAAAAAAATTGTTAAAATATATTAAAAGAAAGATGAGTACCGCGAAAACGAAATAGCTTATGAGAAAGAGAAAAAATGTTCTTTTTTAGTTAGGAAGTCACTTTTTCAAAAATAGTTTATTAATTTTCGTTGACTACAAATCAAATTCTATTGACCTTTTTTCCTAAACACGAAATAAATATTAAAAAATAAGAAAAAATATATTTTTTAAAGTTATTTTTCTCGAAACAAACATAATTTATAAGTTTTTGAAACTTATTTTTTTCAAAATAAACACAGCCGTAGCAGACTAAGGCCAAGTAGCAACAGTGGTAGGTCATGTGACTTATAAATACATCCCACCCTAGTCCTCACTGACACATACTGACTAGCAGCCACCGTTCGACCACTCAAATCTATATGCACCACCACCCTGATTGGCCTGAGCAGACGATTCCAGCAACATCGCATTGAACTGTTTCTGACCACACCGACTTCCCACTCGTGCGACTATGTTTGTAGACGTAGGAGCTACGCGCTGCACGTGCCTTTGCTGCTCTCTCAATTTAGCCTTCCTTCATTCAGTTCAGTCCCTGTTCTTTTTCTACTTTGGTGTTTCAGTCTCTGTGTTGCTGATTGAGGTACGTAAGCCCCTATAGATTGGATTTCGATGAAAAATTTGTATGATGCTTGATGATTCCGCTTGTTTAGGAGCTATTACTGCTTTATTTGTGATTAGTACAAAGTTTTGAACGATTTATTGAACTTACACTAATTAAGATAGGCTAAATCGAAAGCAATTTACAAATACGTTGTTCTTTTTTCTCCTAATTTTTTTCTCCTTTTTTCACTTTGCAATTTAAAGAAATTTTGGGTCCCACAGGTGAACGCTAATACCAGTTAAATTAAGTTTATTAATCCTTCTAATTAAGTTGAGATGAAATATTACATTGAAACAAACATCGGGAAGACAGATAAAGTTGAGATGAACATTACGATTGGCACAAGCATCAGAGAGAGAGAGAGAGGAAATTTGCTTAGACATTGTCATGGAAACAGCCAAAAACATGTACGAAGACACACACATATACCTCACATACTAATTAATTAGAAACAAATTACTACAGCTAGGGATTGTTATTTAACGAGAGTAAGAAAAAAAGGTGCTGGAGATCGAGCAACTCCTAAGGGCATTTGGTCTTGTTGCCATGTGTAGTCATGTCAGTGTAGCATGTCCCGCATATTTCTCTGTTCCCTGATGTGCCTGGAGGCACGCATTTGCACCTGAAGCAGCAGGTGCCACATGCCCTTGTGCACACTTTAGGCCTTGAATGCAAACCACACCTCACCTTGCACAATCCTCCACAGTCTGCAAAAGAAATCAACTTTAATTCCCTGGACATGGGCTTCGCTCCTATGTGTTGTGCTCCATAGAAAAGGAGCAGAGGAGAAAAGCAGGGGAAAAAACAGAGAGAGAGAGAGAGAGAGAGGTCTTAGCTTTAGCTGCAGTACGTACCCAAGAATGGTAATAGCCTTCTGTTGGTTCCTTTGACCACCTGGGAGCTTTGGTACTCTTCATCAATCTTGATATCAGACGAAACCTGCAAGTGTACCATTCAACTTTTTTTATTTTGTAATCAGATTATATGTTTTGATAGAGTGATTTTTAGCTAGAGAGGATGCAGAAGACCAGAGTGTTACCTTGGACATGCAGAAGAGCAGCACTGCCAATAAAAGAAGGAAGCGTAAGGCCATGGCCATGAATGAATGAATGAATGTTCAGTGAGGGCCTGTCTTTTTATAAAGCCATTTCTTGGTTGTTCATTTACCAATTCCCCCATTGGCCTTTATTCTAACTCAAAATGTAATTTTCGTGCATTTTACTGTTATTACTTCTTTTTATTATTATTATTATTTCTTGAATGAATGAATGTACAGGGCGGGCCTGATATGTAAATATATATAGAGTTAGGCCTAGCGAATGAATAGTTTACAAATTATTTTCTCTACTTGTAATTATTTAATTTTATATTTTTAAATATTTTATTATATTTTTACGTTATTTGATTTTTTAGTTTTATGAAATAATAAATTAAATAATTAATTATTAAAACAAAAGGAGCCCTGGTTTTGAAGGCTAAAATCTTTCGGGATACTCCCCCTCCAAAAAAAAAAAAAAAAAAATTTCTTGCCTAAAATAAACTAATAGTAACCAGCAAGATTTCTCAATGCTTCGTTAAATAAATAAATAAATAAATATTGTTTTTTCTTTCCCTTCGACCGTATATTTAATATCAAATTAAATTAAGCATAAATAGTTGGCTTGCTTGTTAATGGCAGACAGCACCGTATGGTCTTCTGATTACCACCAACTCCAGGTTCAGTTGCCTTTCTAATTAGGCTTAGCGAATTTCAAAGAAACATATAACCCATCATATCAAAAATCAAAATGTTAGCATGCATTTGCATGTATTAGAATATAACAATGGTGATGGGCAGCGTATGAGAAATAGAAAAGGCCAAAACAGGCCATCCCTGGGTTTGGGATCCCTACTCTCGATTGCAAAGAAGCACAGCTGTACATTATCTTGGTTGAAGTGATATTGCATTTACGCACACACCATCATGACACAAGCAGCAAGCTAATGTTGAGCTGGACGCCTCTTTTAGACACCACACGGACCTCCTTACCTAGTTGCACGTATTTCATCTTCTCTTACTGTCTGTTGTGCACTTACGTAATTCATTCTTATCTCTTATGCCGAGTTATTTTTACCCATATTATCTGCCAATGCAATTATGCTCATAGCTGGTTGATTCAGATGGAGAACAGAAGATTCATACCATTTAAGGATCCATTATGAATTGTGATTTATGAACCTTCGAGTTATATGTTGCTGTGAAAAACACAACATATCCTACCAAAATTCTTTACAAGTTCATCCCCGCCCTGGCTAGCTTTCCGAATAAGAATTTGTTTGATGAAGCAGTACCACTTAATATGCTTCATTGGGTTGTGTACTATAGTAGTTGTTCTTTAGTGACTAATGACACCAACTCTTGGGCCTCACACTATTAAACTATCAGCTTGCATATAAACAGTAGGGTTTAATTTTCTTGCAACTACAAAATCTTGAGGCTCACACGAGCTTATCCAGAACCAAAAGGACAGAAAGATTTTTTTTTTTTTCTGATTTGTTTTTTCAATTTCGAAGCTTCAAAATTCGATGGCTCATGTGCACAGCATAAGAACTACAACCTCTGCAATCTATCCCAAAGAGGATCTGCTACCAATCCTAATGCATACTCCATGACTCAAATCATGGTGCTGCTAAAAAAAATTGCTGAACGGTTGCCTTAATAGGCTCGTCGCAATAATGACAAATTTCATTATATCTTTTTCCATTGCCTTAGAAGAGAGATGGTCCTTCTGGCACCAAACAAAAAAGAATTACTGAACCATAATCACTACTTGCTCATCGGTAATCAGTCATCCTTTCAATTTTATCATCAGCATTGACACTATCTCATTTCCAGGCACAGTTCTTACCAACAGCACTGTTAACCATGAATGTTCATAGCCAAGAAATACTACCATTAAAGTAGACAGGTGTCAGAAAAAGTTACAACGACTATATGATACTATCTCTCAACCTCAAAATTTCCAAATGTTTGATCAATGGATGTTGGCTATAGCTCAAAAATTCAAACTTCGCATATAAATTCTCCCCTAGACTTGCAAGAAAAACAAACAAAAAGAATGGCACCTGTTCTAAAGTATCATGAGAAACTGTTTCCTTGTTCGGTTATCGATTTTCTAGAAAAAAATATTCACTTCCTTTTCATTCATCTCATATACATGATCTCTTGCATCAGTGAGAGCACTCTGCATAGTAGAGTAATTTTCTTCAATTAAATATGCACCAGAAAAACAAAATGACAACTTTCAAGAGATCAGATATATATAGAAGGTGAAGGCTACCTGTCCAAATTTTGTAAGGAAGTTATTTCCAAGATTTAGAGAGGTGATGTTTACATCTTCATTTGCCTTGAGTGCTTGAGCAATAGAAAAAGCCCCATCGTCCTGCATGCAAAATCAATATGAAACGGTGCAAAATGCTTCTGATTTGTAAATAAAGATTCAATAAGAGAACAATTCTTTACTCTAATTTCATTGAATCCTAAGTCAAGATCAGTTAGAACTTCGTTGACCACTTTCAAGCTGCGAGCCAGACAAACTGCACCCTGCAAATATTTTAATTTAATGGAAAATGGAAAATGAGTAAATAGAATTGAGTGACCAAAATGGCCCAAAAGCCTTAATCTACAGGTACAAACTTCATCTCTGAGCCCATTTCCTCGCAAGTCCAGAATTGAAATTGTATTGTTGTATTTCAAAGTATCTGCAAGGTATTCTGCACCCTTTGCTCCTATCTGCAAGACATTTACATGTCATGTTGTTGATACCAATCTTCAATAAAATATAGATTGAGTAATAATGTTGGCAGTACTTCTACTTTTACAAGCACATCTTACTAACTAAGGTGTCCCTTATAGTTTAGGAAGTTTTAAAACATCAACGTGTGAACGTATATGGATCTACCTGGCACCAACCCAGCTTTAATACTTTCACATTTCCATGAAACTTGAGGACTTCAGATAACACCTTCATTCCATCTGGTCCAATGGGGTTATAACCGATTTCCAACTGAGAGAGAGAGAGAGAGAGAGAGAGAGAGAGAGAGAGAGAGAGGTTATTATATCCCAACTGAAAGAATAAAAAGATCAAATCATGGTAAAGGACTCACAGTTGTGATGACAGAATTATCTTTTAAAACTTGAGCTATTTCACTGATTCCCTTGGCATGTATGTTATTTCCACCCTGTAGTCTCAGCAATAGTTTATTCAAGAGCTCTTGAAAAGGTAATTGATGGATGCCAGCAAGAGATCATTACAAAGAAGCATTTTCATCTTACCAGGTCTATAATTGCTACACTACGGTTTTGCTTCAAAGCATCTGCAATCTTTTCAGCACCCTGGAAAAAAAATTACAGGAAGAATAACAACATGGTGTAAATTAAAGCTAAAGAGCAGTTTTAGCATTAAATTGATCATGTAAAAGAAAAAAATAAAATGATGCATAACAGACGTGGATATTCATTCACTGTTTCATTACCTCATCACCAATGTCATTCATGTACATGTTCAACCAAAATAAGCTCTTGCTCTTTTTGACATACTCAGCAACATGAAAGGCGCCTTTTGAACTAACTGAGTTGTTGCCAATGTCTAGATGCGTAAGTTTTGCTGAAGAAAAAACATGCATGTTAGATATATATATATATATATTCTTCTTTTGGATAATTGCAATTGGTAACTCGAATATATAACTTATGTTGATATGGTGTACCTTTACTTGAAGATAAGCCTGACATCAAGGCACGAACTCCTTCATCTCCAATAGAATTTCCTTGCAAGTGAAGTTCCTGAACAAATAATTTTGCTGTGAATCTCATACCCCTTGAGGAAAACAAAACATGCACATGTTTTAGCCTAGATCTATATAGCACTGTTATATCATCAGAAATAACATAACCAAACAAAGATAAGAATTCAATGCAAAAGCTGGTTTTACTGAACCTGCACGATTATTACATCCTTACAATTTTGTTTTGGTTTTTGCTATAAGTGTGGTGGTTTCACTGAGAAAAGCACAAAATTAGTTATACCAAATAAACTCTGAGCTTGTCATTTTCTATTGTGAAGAAGCTATGTTTGAATAATCTACATCCAGCTCGATAATCGAATTCAATTGTTTAATTCAGGCTTTTTACAAAGTGAATCTTTATGGAGATCTGAATGATGGTATCTTTGATCCCTCCAAAAACACAAGGAAGCTGGGACAGTAAATCCCATATGAAGCCTTTCCACTTTTTTCATGCCTCGACTTCTCCACAGTTTCTCAGATTTTTCTCAATATCATCTACTTCATTAAAATCTCAACTCATTAGGATCCTGTTTCCCTGCTTTGCAGCATGGAGGACTAATAATTGATCCTTTGGTCTAAAAAACTTTCAGTTGTTTCTAAGGTAATAAGTCCTCATTAATTACTCACCCCAAAAAAGTAAAACTATGGATTAGAAACCATCCACATCCAAACTTTCTTGATGTAAAGGTTTTCAAACAGAAGTACATCAACAGTCAGTGACTTGTGCATAGGTAACTCATTAAATTGGCATGACTGGGCTATGTACTGTACATAAGCAACTTATGACACAAGTGACTTGTAAGTTTGATGATTGTGATTTAGTTTTACCAAAGTAATGATACGTTATTAGGCAGAAAATTCTACAAACAGAAAATGAAAACAAATAGAAGCTTCATTTGTCATCTTCTGGTCAAATCTAGCAACTTCACCCCCATGTAGAATATAGAAAATAGTGAAAAAAGATAGAAAAGTTACATACTCGTAAAGATTTGTTACCCTCAAGTCCTTTAGCCAAAGCATTAGCCCCCAAAGCGCCACCATAATTGCCACTTAACAATAATAGAATGTCAATTGAAATAACAAAAAGAAAGAAGAGCATGTGAAATATATGTCTAAAGCCACACGAATCTGTCCAACTAAACACAATTTGTTTCGCTAAACAGGACATCCTATAATATTGAATAAAAAATTTTCAGATCTTCTACTCACTTGAGATACATACTTCGTACAGCATTATTCTCAAGAAGTGCTCCAGCAAGACTTGTAAAACCCTACTTGCATCCCAAAAAAAAAAAAAAAGAAAAAGGAAAAGAAAAAGAAAAAACAGCGTAAGCCTAGCAACTTCAGCCATTAAAATACAATCTTAGAACATACTGAAGTAACTGCATACAGAATAGTCAATCAGGTTGTTATTAAGTTCGACCACACGCAAGGTTGAACTTTTCTTCAACAAGTCAGCAATAGCCTTTGCACCCTGCAAATAAAACAAGTGACTTAGGCACATGACTGCAGGATATGCATTCAGTTGTACATATGAATTTTAAGGTTTGTGAACAAACTTGTCAGACACTAGTTTGAAGCTAATAGTAAGCTCACCTCATCACCTAAATCAGCACTGTTCAGCTGGAGCTTTTCAATACCAGCATTATCCACCAATATAGCACACAGGACCTGTTAAATAAAATGAAAACATCAGCAATCACATGTGCCAGAGATTGTAAAAATTAGCATCAATAATACAAAAGCAATGGAAGGAAAAAGCTAAAAACTGAACTTCGAAGAAATTCTCATGAACATGAATTCAATCATTTTTTTAGTGCAAGTAGCGATGCAATTGAACTACTCAAAACCACAAGAAGCCTGTTTTAAAGCCCAATTGAATTTGGCTTAGGTGAATGACCAAATATTGAAAGGTAACAAGAACTCTTTGCATAGGGTACAATATCTAAGACGCTATATAGTTTCCTTGAATCGGAACTAATGTACCATGATGGTTAGTGATGCAGACAACAAATGAAGCAAAAACTTGTATCTTTTTTTAGCAAGAGTATTTCTGTCATTTTTGGAAAATTTGGAAATTTGTCTAAGTCTAGATTTTCCAATAGAACATACAAGTTGCTGGAAATTACGTAATTTCTATTGCATTCACCTTCAATATGTCTTGTTTAGCAGATATGTTTTGACAGTCTGTTGATCTACTTATTTATTGGGTAAGTAAACAAAATCAGCATAGAGAAATCAAATAAGAGATTTATGTTGTTCAGCTTCTAGCCTGCATGGACAAGGGAAGACGATAGGGAAATTCACCATGAAAACTGTAGACTCAGTTTCACATACAGACTAATAGCTAGGCCTCTGAACCCAGAGATCTCTCTGTCAATATATATCTTCCTGTCTTTCTGGTTTCTCCTAAAGAAAGTTTTGATGTGTGGATTAAAGTTCTAAGAGAAAGTCTTAAAACCTGATGCACTAACCAAATGGTCCATGATTCAAGTGCAATGAGAAGCATTTAGGCATCAGAGCATCGCAACCTTAAGTTCACAGTTATCTTAACAGCATGTAGGCAGAGTATGCCCATGTGCTACTATTAGTAATTGCACTTTCAGTTCATTGGTTTCAACAAACTGGGGCTTCTCCATGATGCTCCTTCAAATGTAAAAAATGCATATTCCACCAATAAATGCAGGACTCTAAGTTTGTGAGTTTAAATAAATGACATACTAATAGGGAAACAATCAAGGAGAAGAAGAATTCTATAGACATGAAATTTGGACCTCCAACATCAATTGATTTTACAATATGTCAAACAAAAAGCTATATGGAAGTAAGTTTATCTTTACATGTAATTGCCAAGGAGCTGCATAGAAAAGGTTTGTTAGATAGCTTGCTTGAAACAATATGTGAAACAAAAGGTATCATGTCTGAACTCTGAGAAACAAGATAACATATTGCTGCAGCCTGCAAAAAACATTAAAATGCCTTTTTCATCTAATTGTCCAACTTCATATGCTGTGGTATAATATACTATATAAAAACAAAGCGACTCATGTATGTTCAAAAACACATTTATTTGTGCCCAATAATTTTAGGAGAAATTCTTTTCCAATGTTTAATATATCAAGCATTAGCATAGCCTTCTTGATATTTGTGAAGTTATTAAAAGAGAGGTAGATTTGAGCTGACCTTAGCTCCTTCATCTCCAATAGGATTTCCCGAAAAGTTGAGAGTTTTTAGTGCAATGTTTGATTGAAGAACACTGTCAAAGGCCTTTGTTCCTTCTGCAGTTATTCCATTTGCAGCAAAACTTACTTCCTCTAGAGTCTGAAGAACAGCTAAGATAGATTAGAAAATTCATAAAGAGAAAGATGTCACACTTGCAAAATTTATAGCTAGGACTGCAAGAAATGCTATTATAATGATGAGGATGATGAGGAGAGCAGACATAATCACATAACTAGTTGAAGAACTCTAACCTGATTGTATGCCAAGCTCTCGGCAAGGAAAAATAGTCCTTCGTCTCCAAAATTACATCCTGCAAAAGATTTTGAAAAGTTTGCATTTAAAATGTCTACTTGGAAAGAACCAGAGTGGCGAGTTGCCGCCAGAATCCTAGTACAAGGTACTTAGATTCTCTCCAATTTCATTTCCTACGAAACTTTTATACGTTTACTAGAATCCTACTCTTTTTCTCATCAATAAGCAGAACTTAAAGCCCCCAAAAGTTATTAAAGAAGAAGAAGAAGAAGAAGAAGAAGAAGAAGAAGAAATCAACTCCTTGCCACTGTCCTGCATCTATTTAGGCACATTATCAGGGTACTTAATTGTATTGGGTGATCCAGCAAAGGTACTAGAGTAAATTATTACATGTAAAAAATGAAATTGTACCGAGAAAGCCGCAACATACCGGACATGTCAACGCTTCTGAAAGACCTGAGTTGTTTGGCAAATTCATTAAGCTTCTGCTTGGACTCCCAGTCGACTTTGGCAGTGAAACCTGATAATAAATTAGAGCCAGGGGCAAAGGACCATTTAACTCCTTTTTCAGGAGATTTATTTTCTGCTGCTGATAAACTAGGCCTTGCTGGCTTTGGCATAAGAAGTTTCTCCACCAATTTCCACAAAACTGTCAGCTGAAGACATAAATTAGCAAAACAATTTACTTCAAATTCTACAACGCTGCTATCTATAATCATCTAAATCATGGGGTTGGAACAATTAATGAAAGATTTGCATACCGAAAGTGACTGCTACAAAGACTCCAGCTGGGACAATGAAGGAGACAGCCTGTTTGACGGGAGCGTTAATCAAAGAAGACTGAGACTTAGACTGACTGTAGACTCTGCGGCCACCTCCAGAAGCAGCAGCAGCAGCCTTCACAACCACACTCCTCAACCTCAAACATCTTCTTCGAACTGATAAAAGCTTCGCCTCTGATTGGAGTCTGCCCTTTAGCGGATGGAAATGGGCCGCCCCAACTGAAATCTGTTGACAATTATCATTAGTATTATTTTCGTAGAGAAAAATAACAAGAAATATGTATTTCATTTTACCTTTGGATGGGAGAGGGAGTGTAGAGAGAGAGCCAAAGAAGTGAAGCCCATGGGTGAGTGAGTTTTAGATGATGATGATGAAGATGGGCATAGGAGAGGAGAGGAGAAGAGAGAAGAGGGTCTTTACTCTTTAGCTTAGCTTAATGATAGAGCTGAATGGAGATAAAGCGGCGGGTCTCAGGGATGGATGTTTTAAAATGTTACAGTACTCAACTCAACATAACTCGATTCAACTCAGTTCAACTCAAACTATAGAGATTAGTACACTCTAAAACTAACGCAGCCCTCTCTCGCTCTTTCTCGAGTCTATCAACGGCTCTCTACTCACCCTTCCTTCAATGTTTCCTCATCATCGTGGGATTGAATTATTGGTGTCAATCGTCCTTGTATTCTTGATTTATTCTTATATTGATCCCTCTTCTTTTTAGTTTATCTATTAGAACGGGCATTTCTTTCGAGTAAAAGTAATTATATAACGGAAATTTCAAAATACAAATTAAAAAATCATCGAAAGAATTAAATTTTGAAGTGGTTGAATGGGTAACTCACCCATCCTTCCTCAATTCGTTTCCATTTTCATTTGCCAATCTTTAAAAAAAAAAACTATTTCGGTGTAAAATATATATATATATATATATATATTTGTCAAAACTGTAGGTGGTCGTAAGTGCTTAAAAATACCACATCCAACATCACAGTTTCCAAAACTATTTTATTATATATCTCCTGCTATTTGGCAATAGTTTTTCAAGCTAAACGATATCAATTAAATGTAAAATTATAAAAATACATGTATAACCGTTTCAAGCGATGATGAACTTAAAATTCAATACTCAAAGCTATGTTCATAAATAATTTTATTTTAGTTTTGCTTGGTTACCAAAAATAAAAGATTAGAAATAAAAATTAGAAAAATCAAAATAGTATTTGTATTTTTATATTGTGTTTAGAATAACAATAGTAAATCATAATGAAATTTTAAATTTTTAATATCTGATTTTTAAGACAAATAAAAATAATGATTAAAAAATAATTTTATCAATAATGATGATAGTAAAAATGATAAAAGCAATTGTGGTGATGGTGATAATACTAGAGAAGAAGAAGAAGAAGAAGGTGATAGTAGTAGTAACAATAATAAAAATAATAATAATATATTTTTTAAAATTGATACTATCATTATAAGAGGAGACAATAAAAAGAGAGTGGTGGTGGTAATGGTGATGCGAGATGAGCTTTGATATAATAATAATAATATCAATAATAATTTTTTTTTATCGCCATCATGAATAGTGGTGGTGGTTGTAACGGTATAATATAAATGATAATGGTAGTAGAATAGTGGTGGAATAATAATAATTATAATTTTTTTATTACTATCATTAATGGTGGCTATGAAGATGAAAATGATGGTAGAAATAATTGATATACAATAAATAAAATGTATTTTACTATTTTGAAGGGAAAAAAAACTCATTTTCATTTTTTATTTGTATTTCTACTTCTTCTATAAGAGAGAAACTATGTTTAATTTTTATTTTTATTTCTATTTCATATTTTTTAATTAAATATTCATAAATTAGAAATAAAATTTTCATTCTCATTCCTAGTGTTCTATTCTTTCTTACCGTTAACCCTTTCCTAATTAACCCGGTCGCTCTTGCTGTGGTCTGTTAAGCCTCTTCTGATCCAACCATTTGGCCCAATAAAATAAAAACAAGTCTAGGGTCCAATTTCGGAATTTACTATTGTTGACCATCTTTGAAATGTAGGCTTTGTAGCTCAAAGCCCTGAACTGGATTTTAAACTTAAAGCCCATCTCTATTTTTTTTTTTTTAATGTTTTTGTCCTAACTGTAAAGTCTCTTCGAAAATTATTCTATGATTTAAATTTTGATAATTTCATTAATCAAACTACACTTTCAAAACTATACATATATGGAAAAAAAATCAACTTTCAAAATATTTCCTTCAATTTCAAACAATAAGTGGGAATTTAGGAATAATAACGAAATGGGTAATGAAATCAAGATGTAAAAGGCAACAAATCAGAAATCTTCCTTATATATATATATATATAGAACTCAAGAAGGTAAATAAATCAGAATCAGTGGATATTTTATGCATAATTATCTCCTCGTGATTTTATTTAATTTTTTTATTTCCTTAAACCAATCATTTTTATATTTTCTATATGTCAACTCCTTTTTTAAAAAATAAAACGTCAACCCTTTGTTTAGTAATTTTATTATTATTATTATTATTTTCCTTGAGAGAATCAACCCTTTGTTTTACTCTTTGTCCACGTTAGGGCGGCAAAGACATGTACTATCTGCACACAATGCAGTACACGTTTTGGTACATTCTGGGCCCTTGTGTGTGCATTAGGGTTAATTTCATTTTAGCCTATGAACTATATAGGTTTTATCAATTTCTCTTAAAACTTTATTTTTTATCAATTATCTCTATGAATTGATTGATTTTTTCTTTCACTCCTTGTACAAAAAAATATCTTGTTGGTAAATAGATGAAACGTCCAGAAGCTAATTAATTAAAGAAAACAAACTTTTGGATGAAAATTGATAAACCCATATAATTAAAGGGAGGAAAATGAAATTAACCCTATAAATTGAAAAAGACGAATTTGTCAACAATAGGTTGCACGACATCAACCCTGGCCATAACGAACATTGAAGGGCCAACTAGGCAAGGATCTCTCTCTATATATACCATTACAAACCCACCAATAACATTCCATCATTTTCTAACAAAATATTAAGACAACTCAACTTAATTATATTGAAAAATGAATTCAGGGATGGCTGTCTCAATGTTAGCTGCTTGTTTTGCTGTCTTGGTCATGGTTGCTGCTGCTCATGAAGGCCATCAACATACTCCTGGTACGGAAATGCCCCCAGCCCCTGCCCCAAGTTCAAGCACAACGGTGTCTCCATCAACGGTGATCGGAATTGCCCTCGCTTTCGTTGCTTCCCTTGTTGTTAGAGATCGGCTCTGAGCCTTCATTTGTATCGTTTCTTTTTCTTTTTCTCTTTTCTTTTTTTATATATGTACATGCCTTTGGTCATTAGACCTGGCCATTGGTTTGGTGGGTGTCGTGATGTTGTGCTTTAAAATATGGCTACTTGTTTGCTAGTAATTTGAGGTGGTTCTTTTTTTTTTTTTTTTAAATGATTTCATCTCATGAATATGTAGTGGTAATTATGGGTTCTTACTTTGATTTTTTATTTTTTTATTGGAGATATGAAAGTTCTTCGATATTTCACTAGATCTCACCTTCGTTTGGTCCTTAATTATCCAGCCAAACAATTCCCAAAATTTGATTTGGCCATGCCGATATACGTGATAATGCATCTCTAACATGCTTATTAATATGTGATGATTATTCATAATTGCTAATTAAGGACCAAATGGAGGTGGATATCTGATAATTAAACAAATTGCCCTATGGAAATTTCAGAAGTATATATTGACCATGGTTTTCGAACTGCAACAATTAACGTAGTAAATGTATTATTATATATTATGCTACCGAATAATTAAGAGGCCATCAGATTAAATTATGAAAATTATAATTTATTTTTTAAATAAAAAACTTGCCTTTTTTCCTTTCAAATCACAGGTTTATTAATTTTATATCAGTCATATAAACATAAATTTTAATAAATTTTATTGTATTATTTTATTTATTTTTTGGAGAAGCCGCTTATTTTTGGGCTGAGAGAATCTCGGTTATGACAATATTGTATGCATTGGTATATGTATAAATTTGGCAACATTAAAATTATTAAGCTCAATGACATTATATATTTAAAGAGGATTTGCTTGGTTGGAGTATGTTCTGTACAAGTAGGTGAATTAGAAGATTTCAAGTGTAACTAGCTTTTGGAAGTTAGGTCAAAACAAGAAAAAAGAAAAAAGAAAAAGGAAGGATACATTTGCACCATATGTAAAACTTTTAGTTTTATGTATTTTCTATCATTGCTATCTTATAATCTAGCTAGCTATTGATACAGCATGAAAAATTTTGTATTATTCACATTTATTTACTTCAGTTATGTTCCCTTATTTGTTCCTTCTCAATTATTATCAAGAACTAGCCGGATTTTTTTTTTCATGGTTCCACCATTTTGTAATCTAAATATATTTTGATTATAAGCTTTAAAACAAAAAAAGGAAAAGAAAAGATAGATCTATATCTTGGTTCATGAGCATAATTTGTTGAGAACTAACAACAATAAAAAAAACTCAAAAGGAATCAAAATTGAAAACTATTTTTCTCTTTGTTGCAAAAAAAATTATCTTATTTAACTTTTTACACATATTAAGTAAGCTATTAATTGTTAAATCATATCATAATTTTTTATTTATACTTTCCTAAAATATAATTTTTAATAATTGTATTTGTACATTTTTTTCTTACAAAATAAACTTTAATTAAGGATGTTTTTAAGAAAGTATATCACTTAAGTGTTGTTTGGTAATTAAAAATATAATAATGTAAGATGATCGGTTGAAAACAATGAAGTGAGAATGATAATGAAGAGTTATAATGAGATTGAAAATTAAACATAATTTCATTTTTATGGAGGAAATGATGAAAGTAAAAAATGAGAATGAATTTTTTTCTTCAAAATCATAATATATTATTTTTATATATTGTTTATCAACTACTTCTACTACCACGTCACTACTCTCATTGGTGGTGATGATAAAAAGAATTAAAAAAAAATTACACATATCAAATATGCTAGTGTGTGTATATATATATATATATCATTGATTTTAGTTAATGATGTGTCTATATATATATATACACTCATTCTTTTTGTCTTTTTGAACTTAAAAATTGCTTTCATAAAAAATATGTTTACATGTTATGTAACTTAAGAAGTTATAGACGTTTAATGAAAATAAAAGCTCTTTGGTCAAATATTTTTAATATGGTCTTCATTGGTCATTTTATATCTCAAAACCATATATACTAATATAATTTAACCAAAAACTGGTTTTATCTCACAACACAGGACAATAACTAATTATCAAATATTGTCTTTATCTTATAGTATAACACCAAGCAACACAGCCCAACATAACGATCACAACATGACATAATAATAGAAAACATACTAACTGGGACAAAAAATTTATTTATTTATTTATGAAGATTTGATTTGTAGGTATTAATATAACTATTACTATTATTACCCCTTGAAAAGATGCCTTGCAAGTTTATGGAATCCTACTCATATTCTTGAACAGCTACCATATTGAAGGGATATCTAATATTCATTTCATTGATTGATTACAAAATCAGGAATCCACCAACTCTTATGAAAAACTTTATGTAGATTTCATGTATCACAAAAATATTTATTTCATTAATTAATTGCAGCTCTAAAATCAAGGAAACGCCAACTCTTATGAAACATCTGACGTAGATTCCATGCACTTAAATTCCAATAATATCTTAATTACCTATCATACTCTCTATATTCAAAATATATCATTTCATTTCATTTTTCATATAGTTTTAAAAAATTATTAATTTTTATATCATATCAGTATTTTTTATTCATATATTTTTAAAACATCTTTTTTTTTAATTAAAATTGTTAGTTATTAAATTTAATCCTACATTATATGAAATCAATATATTTAAGGAGAAAGTCTATAAAAAATTATGGTGGTAAATTAAAAGAAAAATGATCAACTTAATCAACAATCAAATTTAAAATAATTATAAAAAAATATATCAATGAAAATAGTTTTCTTTGAAAATTTTGGCTTGTAGTAAAATCCTTACAAGATTGAATAGTTTTTATGTAAAACAAAAAAATTTCCTTCAAAATTTTTAAGTTAAAGTTATTTGTATTTACAAGAAGAAAATATAAAGAATATTAATTTTTTGTTAATGAAGAATGTCATAGGGCAATGTCAAGGCGAGGCGACGACTTTGGAAAATAGGAAATGGGCAAAAATAATGGAGTCGTCACCCGGTATTATGGTTACTAGGAAACCACATGGATGTCCGTTCGCAGTTCTAAGTAAAGGGTTTGTTACATGTGAGGAAGATAAAAAAATCACCATACTCCGTCATGTCTAAAATAAGCTATATTGCATACAAATCTAAATTGATTTTTGAATTTTTTTTATAATGAAATCCTATGCCTATTCCTAAATTTTTGTCAGTCGAGCAAGTGATTCAAGACTTAACCAATCAAAAGTCTTATCCTCGCTTTAAGACATAATAAATCTAAATTTATAACAATTACATTAAAACTCACATGATAAACATGAAAAAAGTATATAACAAAAAATGAAAAAGATAGTCAAAAAACAAGGTTCAAACCGATGTGACTTTAAATTTCAAATTTTTAAGCCAATTGGTAAAATCATCAAAATTGACAAAAACGATCGAAAACAGGATTTAGATCGATACAACTTCAAATTTCATGATTTTCAAACACATGGCAAATAAATTTGGCAAGTGAAATAGGCATGTTAGGCAATGTTGTCATGAACGATTCGAATTAAGGTATAGACCGACATGACTTTAAGGTCATGATTTTCAAAAAGATGTTTTAGGCAAAATCGACAAAAAATGTCCAAATAGAGGTTTGGACCAACACAACTTAAATGTCACATTTTAGGCAAATTGGTGATAATATCAAATTAATCATCACAATTTGCAAAAATGGTCCAAAAATGAGATTTAGTCGACGGACTCAAGAATCATATTTTTTAAAGCAAATTGGCAACAATATCAAGTTAATCATCACGAAACGACAAAAATGGTTCAAAAACGGGGTTCGAACCAATGCAACTCAAGCATCATATTTTTTAGGCAAATCGGCACTGGATCAATTTAATATTACCATTGACAAAAATGGTCCAAGAAAGGATTTGGACCAACATGATTATAAATACCATGACCTTCATAAAAAAAAAAAACAACAATAAGGCAATTTGCACATCCGGTTAATAATTATTAAGCGACAAACAAATCTTGAGCCAATAATGTAAAATAACAATTTTATCACACATGCTAAATCTAATGACAAACATGTAACAAAAATAATTACGAATACTCAATCCCTTTATTTAACCGCAATGTTACCCAAGGTCTCTAATCCTTTCATAGACTCGATACACTATGGTGTATCTTAAACACTTCAATCAACCAATCACACAATCAATTTAATTAATTTATGGTCATATAAATATAAATTAAATTTAAGAATTAAGGATAAATTACCTATTGAAAAAATGCAAAAAGGTCGAAGAAATTTTTTATCGTCAAAATGGGGTTAGTTTTAACCTTCGCAACCCCAATAGGGACCGATTATTCAATCAACTAGGGAGGAGGGATGACTGTCGATTGTTAGATCCGGACTCGTTGTAAGGCGAGGTGGCTATTGGTGATTGAATCATGATTGGACAATTAGCGGTGGCTATTGGTGACTCGGATCGGAGGTTGAATGGCTAGCGGTGGTCTGCTAGCAATGGTGGTATTGCTAGATTGAACGGCTCGTGCTAGATCGGGTGGTCATTGTTGCTTGTGTGGATTGGATGGCTACTATTACTCGTGTGGATCAAATAGTGGTTAAGGTTAGATTGGACAACTATTGTTGCATGGATCGAATGGCTATTGCTACATGAATCAAACGATTGTTCGTTGGATCGAGTGGCTACTCGTTGCGTGGATCAAACGATTGTTGTGTTGAATGATGTCAAACAGTAGCTTGCACGAGACCGACTACCACTAATTAGATCGTAGCTGGATTGAACGATGCTATCATGTCTAATATGGTGGTTGTAAGGGAGATTGGACATGACAAAGGCTACTAAGAAGATGAACGACGATGAAGGGTTTGCTAGAATGGATGGTCGATTGAGGAGAAGATGATCGATGGTCGAGCATGGCTAATTGGGTTTTCTAGAGAGAGAATTAGCTAGAATTTTTCTAGAGAGAGTGTTATGAGGAGTAAGAAAGTGGGGTATTT